ATATTTCAGACAATTCTGAAATATTAATTGCTACATAAGCATTTTAATCTATGATTTGTAGCATTTAGAGTAGACTGTTATAGTAAAATTTTGAATTTGCTGTTTAATATCTTAGTGGCTTCTTATTCAGATTCTGTGTGAAATTTCATTTTATAGAAATTCTGTTAAACCTTTTAGTTTATATTACGGTAAAATACCGGCACTCAGAGTATCGGTACTTTTTATCACAGGATCCATTTTAAAGGCACATGCTACAGAACAAACAATTTTATAAACTGAAATTTTCACTATAGTAATTTCAGTAAAGTACCTGAATCACTCTAATTAAATAAACATTGCTGCAAGATGTGATATCAAGGTAAAATATTTTGCTGAAAAAACAGATTTTACGGTAAAATGGAGTTTACGGATGATTCCCCCAATGCACTGGTAAGTATTTTATCTGGAGATTTTTTACTGTAAAGTACATCATTAATTTATCGGGGTATCCACAATAATTTTGAAACAATTAGAAATACAAACAAGTTATATTTTTTTTACATTCACTTAGCACATCGTTATAACACTACGCTGTCAAAATATCTGTCAAATTAAGGTCAAAGATACAGGCACTCAAAATGCCACTACGCTTTATCATTGAATTAATTTTTACTTCAAAATTTTCCGGAGCAAAAAAAAAGTTCTGGTGTACAATAAGCTTTACTGTAATATTCATTGAATGTTTGCAATTCAGTAAATATTTCTTTAGGAAATACGGTACATAACTATAGGGTAAAAAGGGATTTCGTAGTTAAAAGTATTTGCAACCTGAGTGCCGGAAGAATTCGAATTTTTTTTGACAGTATCGTTAAATGCTTGTTATTTGTACAGAATAAAAGATAAATTAAATAATCAGTAACTTGATATTGGTTATAGCATAAAACACACCTACGTGTATTGTTTAAATAAATAAAAAAATAAAAAAAAACGGGGGAATATTACAAAAATATTGTTCCCGTATTTTCTAACTAAAACTGAGAACTTAACAATATAGAAGGATATTTAGTCTAGCTCTAGATTGAATAGTTTAATTAGCGTGGTAGTTCAAATTATTAATACGTTCTGCTGGGAGTTAAGTTATATCTATATGATTAGGCTTTGATTAGCAAGATTTGATGACATTTCGATGTATGACAAATTGTCTAATATCACACATATAGTGTTGCACATTTATAAGGCTTACATTATACGTTTAGCATATTTTCGCTCAGCAGAGTTTATATTCTATGGAAATGTATATATTGATATTTAAGAATATTCAATGAATTTTTTCCTAGCTATAATAATTTGTAAATTGTAGATATAATGGACGTTAGCAAATATGCCGTAAATTGAGGTACATATGAAAGCAAGAACCATTAGTATTCTGGCGAAGAGAAAAGATGCTGGTGAAATTACCAAATTTTATGAGATTAACATCTCTAAAAGAAAAGAAAAAAAATAACTTAAATCTTGTTATTTAAACTATTTGTATAAATAAATTTTCCACTCAAATGGTAGTGGTTTACTGAAAATTTTGGTTTTCAAAATTAGAGTTCTTATCACTCCAAATCTAGTAAAAAACATAAAATTGAAAAATAAATTTAACCGAATAAGCGGTTTTTATGCCATGTTAAAGTATCATGACAAAATTACCAAATTTTATCGCATTTTATAAAAACATATTTTAATATTAATTTAACCAAAATCAAATACTTTAGTATATATTATCGAAATTTTGCGTGCTTCCATGGAGTCAAAAACGCTGTAAGAAATATGATATTTTGTTAGTATTGACCATACTTTTTTAAGATACTTTATAAAAAATATCTGTAATTTCCCTATCAATATGAAGCATCTTTAATTTCATTATTGTTGTGAATGTTATCATGGTAACAGAGCAAATTAGCACATCATATGTAAAATGCAAAAAATCGGAAAGTGGTACAATCGGAATAACTTTTGATCTAAGTTTTAAAAAACTGAAACTCAGTTTTAATCCTTCAAACAGGAGACCGAAAATATGTAATTAAATTAGTGCACATGTTATTTTACTCAAAAATGTACTTTTTTTTGAATGGTGATTAAGGGAACCATTTTTTTGACGGATTTAGATTTCTGAACCTCAAAATATGAGAGGGGGTAGCCGTAATCAATTTTTTACAAATTGCTTTTTAATGTACATTATGTAATTAATGCATTGAATTGTTACTCTGATGTAATTTTGCAGCTCTGCAATACCCAATGTAAATTCAAGAAGCAAAAAAAGAATTTATAGCATATATTTGAAAATAAAATTATATTTTTCAGTTAGTAAATGTAATGATTGTCAGTATTTGAGTATTTTCTGGTTGGATGAAGGCTTTACATGCTTTTGTCAAAATGTAATTGAAGACAGCTAAAGAAATCCTCTTTTTGAGCAAAATGTTTAAATTCCAAGATTGAGAACATTAAGATTCAGATAATTTGTATTTGCATATTTTGTCAATAAAAAAAAGTCGAGTGATAAACTTTATTTCCTCCCCGGAAAATTTTCTCCAGATGGTAAAAAATCACACAACGTTGAAAACTGCATTTAGTTTCAAAGAAAGTAGGTTTTGGTATATTTCCAAAACTAAATTATTCAGATGTAATAAACTGGAAAAAGGATTTAATGTAGTAAATAACATATTACATGGAAATACAAATAATATTTTGAATATTATACTGGTGTTGTATTTTATTTTTTAACCATTGAAAATTACAGAAATAACTTCGAAGTTTGTTAAAAAAACAAATGAGTTTAACAATACGTAGAGCTCTATTACGGCACCTCAGGAATGCCCAATTGCCTATTTCAAATCTCGTCGTGCAGCAGCACAAGAACAAAGCTGTAGTCGGATTCAAGATATAAGGCAATGAGTCACGTACGAATAAAAGTATCACATTTACAATATTTATTAACCTTACGTAAGAGCTAGGTTAAGGAAATCCAGGCTTGAGAAGAAATACGCGAAATGAAACCTGTTGATATCGACAAAAACCATCTAACCATCATCTTCATTAAGAGCGTTTAGACAATTATGATAGATTCCAAAATTTCACTTTAATTTTGAATTGGGATAAAAAGGCAGTGAAACTGATAATGCAGTAAATCAGAAAAATAACCACTAATAGCTGATAAGCTTTAGATCTCTTTGATCTTGTCTACTCTAACTTGGCTTTTAAGCACATATCTTAATTTAATTTATTTCAATTAATAAACATCATAATAATGCACATTATAATAATCAATACACATTACCATTATAATTCAATAAATACACATTATCATAATCATTAGTGTCAATAATAATGTAAAAAATTTTTACGCCTCCCAAAAATATCTTTTCTCTATTACGAGTACACCTAAGAATCTTTTCTCCATTATTTCTGCTTTTTAATACCTAAGTTTTTTTTTAATTAAATAACATGTTACCAACATTAATTACACATCAGTGTCGTCAACAATATAGAAATATATATATATATANATATATATATATATATGTAATATATATACAGATGTGTCAGGCAACTTCAATAGTATAATATTTGTTGATGTATACCATGCCTAAAAGCACGTAATGTTCATTGAATTTGTCTGACATAGTGAACATAAAATAACTAAACGTTTAAATACGTGTAATAAACTGTTTTTTTTTTATCAAATATAGGTCGAAGCTAGAGATTGTCACTGGTGTTATATCTTTAGAATGTGTTTATTGTTAAATTATAAAGCAAATATGTAAGGGCAATCATCGGCTGAGTCATCCTATTTCTTCTAAGAAAAAGTCTTATCATATTTTTAGGAATCCTGCTGCGAAATTCGGAATGCTGTTGGTTTCGATAAACTCAAGTCTACCTTTCATCCCAATTTAAATTTCTGACAGCATGCTTTTAAACTCATTATTCAGTATTACTATTAAACTCATGCTACTAAACATTCATCAACAGCATCGAAAAACATTGCGCAATTTTTACTCTAGATTTCTATTGGTAACTTATTTATTAAATATTTATGCTTAAAATTATAAGCTAGTTTTAATGATAATATTATCTGTTATTTTAAATGGGAGATGTAACGGATGTTACTCTTTTACTAATTTAATTAAGAAGTGTTAGTTAATATATAAATAATTAAAAATAACAATTAAATTAATATTTTGATTTGAATTAATAAACTAATCTGAAAAGAAATACGGCAAAAACTCATTTAAACCATGGTTGTGGGGTTGAAATCAAGGACAATTTTTGAGAATCCCGGATCATAAAGATTTTATTTTATTTTTAACAACAATCTGTAAAATTAAAGTGTTGCATTAAAAAAATTTTTTTATCTGAGCAAAGCGAGATAAATATTTTAAGTTTTCCTTCAAAAGTCAGTAACTTGTTTTATGAAATTCACGATTTTAAATACAATATGATTTTATTAATTTTTCTATGTATTTATGCGTCCAATTAAGTTTATATGTAGTTCCATATTTCCAAAATATTTCCAGCATTTCCTTTTCGGTATAAATTTTGGTCAAAATAATTTAAAGGAAATAAAGACGTCTTTAAACACATTGACTTCGTCAAAAATTTAGAGGTTTTGTTTCTTTTTCTCCTAGAAATAGTTTTGTTTTAAAGAATCATTGCCTACTTGAGAATAAAATAAAATCTAAGCTTTAAACGTAAATTTTGAAAATGTATTTTCAATGTTGGAATAGTAATATGTCAAACATCAACGAAAAAAAGACAATAAACGTAACGGAATAATAAAAGAGCAATCTCAGCTCTAGAAATTTAATGTTAAAAGACGTGAGATAGAAGAACCAAAAAATGCAACTAATCATATTTTCGCACGCTAAAAACTTGTCAAAATATCGTCTCCTCTTCTTCCTCAAGGTGGGAACGGTCGAATATTCCCAGCGCCATCTATCGGCCTCATCTAACTAAAGCGGCATCAAATCTTTGCACTGGCAATGTCAACGCAGCAGTGTGCATATAGCGGCAGTTTTAGATCTTGCGAAGCGACTTTGTAGTTGGTTTCACCGTCGGACACTTGGTAGCGCTTTTTCAGTGAGAAGTTACTGATGGGATCTTTATGATGACTTAACTGAAAAGTTTTCGTCGAGTTTTGCGTTAAGAGCTATTAAAACTCCTTTTATGATGGGAAATAATTTGCCATAAATTGTAACTATATCTAAATATTGGAGATAATTGGTTTCATCTATGGTTCCGTGGGAGGCAAATTTGTGAGGAAAAAAAACTTTTATCACGATGCGTTTAACTACTAACAAAGGATAATTTGTGAACGTTGGAGAATTTGATACAACAAATTATTTCACTGACATGAATTCTAAGAAGAAAAAGGTTAAAACATGTTTGTTTCGATTTCTTTTAATTTTTACGATTCCTGTGAAAGTCAAATCTCACGGTGAGTGATTTGATTTAATCTTTTTTTTTTACAAAATTGTATTCAAAAAGGAGATTGTATTAGTATAGATTTGAAGAGATAATTCTTCAATTATTTATAAAAGTATCTCCAAATATGTCTCCATATTTTTAAATTTTGAAATGGGATCGATTAAAAAGGTACTTGAAATAATTTTTATAAGTCTAATCTATTTAACTATTCAATGAATAAAGTTATTTTTAGATAAATTAGATTTTTCAAATATATGTCCTTATGTTTAAAGAGTGCACAAGACAAACCATCAAACAGCAAATATTAAGTAATACTACGTCTTTTAGAATCCGTTGCATAATTTTACCATAAAAAGCAAAGCACATTAACCACTATTTCTCGTCACGGTTGATAATTATTGATAATATCTTTTAATCGCGGTTGATAATTATTAATGATATCTTTTAATTAGTAAGGTCAACTAAAAATAAATTATGACTAAAACTTCATAAAAATATCATTACAAAATAACAATTTTAAACATTCTTGTCAATTTACAGTTATATTTAAGCTTAAATTAAAGTCCAATCATAAATACTAAAAATGGTCAACCTATGTGATAATTTTTCAAAAAAACTTATCAAATAATCAGTCTTGTAAAGCTGGAACTAATAATTGTTGATCATTTTGAGTATCTACTATCAATTGCATGCGGCTCTTCAAAGAAATATNTATATATATATATATTATAAGAAATGAATTTTGTTCTAGTGGCATTCATCGAACTTAACATTAAACATGAAACACTTCCGTCATCGTCCATGTCAAAGAATGTAATCTGGTGGGCGGCACTTGTGAACCTGAGTCAACGGAGGTGACCAACCTTACCACATGGCCATAAGTCTCATTTAAGGTGTGGGCCACGTTCTCAGAGCATACAAGAGAGGACAAACACACACGCAGAGAGAAAGAGGGAAACTGACATTCATGCACAAGGTGCGTTTCGAACCCGCGACCATTGGCTTCGGCGCCTAAAAAGCTTGTCAGGCACGTTGAAAGCTAGGCAAATGTTTTTTAAACTAACTATTAATAAATATTGATAGTTATTTTTTGTTTTTAAAAAAATACTTTAATGTTATATGGATAGACAAGGCAATATACCTTAACATTAATTAAGTTTTAAATCATACATGGTGTCCTTAATTGTTTATGGAAAATGAGCAATTGTTTTGTATTTAAATTTAGAAATAAAAGCATCACGTTACTGCAAATTCAGTAACCGTTAATTCGTCGTGAATTTTAAAACAATTTCAAATAAAATGTATGAATAAGGTATTAATGGAAAAATGAAATTCTAAAATTTCCATGAAACATTTTTTCGTATTATCATTTAAAGGCATTGCTCATATTTTACACTGTAATTGAATTTAAAGAAACTCATTAATCTCATCAACTGGTAAAAAAATTTTAAAGAGAAATTGTCAGACATTGTAAATGCATGTTCGACAATTCGTAGAGTCAAACACGATTTATCATTTATCATAAGGTTGAAAGATTCTTAGTAATTAAAAAAAGTTATTTGTTACTGTATCAATATTCCAAAAATGATTCGTTTCCCTGAGCGAGAAAACGTTCATAAAAAATATATAATTCAAATTACTTTTTTTCTTCATAAAAATAGAAAACAATTTATTTAAATGAAACTTACAAATGATAATAATGTAACTCAAGATGCATTAACATAAATTATGATTCTTAAAAGCATAATTTAAATTATTTAAAAATTTACTCTCCTGCGAATGAAGGTTACATATCTTTTTTACTAAAAAAATTTGAATTGAAACAAAGAGAAAAATGATAATTAATAGAATAATTAATAGAAACATGCTCAGAAAATCTAAAAAAAATGTTTTTTTCAAATTTTACATAAAATATTCAAAATGCATTCATCATCATTGTAACCGGATTTTTTTTACTAAATTATTTTTGATAATGCACTAAATAAGTAATTTTTGGACCTCAAAATATAGTAGCTTTTATGTTTTTAAAAATAATTATATTTGAAACAAAACACAGAGTATAAAAACACAAAGTATGTGGGAACAAGGTCGGGCACTTTTATAGCACTCTTACAGCACGTTTTATGATGGCACAACCCAATTTACCATTGAAGGTGTACTTCGCAAAGTACCACCATCTATTGTTGATTGCAGTTTCATAGTATTATTACTAATGGCACTTTTTATAGAGCACTTATTGCTAGCCAATGCTAAGTATATTATTTGAGCTCTCATTTGTGTTCTGTTTTATTTTATAACATCGAAAATATGTTCTTCATTCACTGAAAAATTAATGCTAATAAACCAATCTTTACTTCGAGAAGAAATTATGAAAGTTACAACGAAAAATGAATTGAAATTGATTATATAAGCGCTAAACAGTTGAAGCATGTACGGAATAATTTTTGATGGGAAAACTGAAAAAAATAAATCTTTGAATGGCGTAATGAATAAACATATTTTAGTTTATGCAGCTGTATTATTTGGACTTATTTCTAAATAGGCGCTATGTTTTTTCTTTAAATAATTTTTTTCCCTTTTTTTAAATAATGACTTATTTGAAAAAAATATAAGATTACATAATTATAAGTTTTATAAGATTTTTTTAGAGTTTAATTCCTCCAGCTTATAATAAGAATGAAAAATTGACCTGAAAATATTATTTTATCTTACTGACACAAAAAGATATATTAGATATTTACGCTCAATGGTTTAGATATAATTTATTGGTCCATGTCCAAGTCTAAATGTATGGTTCATAAGGAAAGAAGCCTGTTAGACTGGGAGTCGACAAGAAATCTCTTTCTTTTACTAGTTGGCTATTTCAGCAGTATTTCTTGAAATCGAATAATTATTTTAACGTACAATTAAGAATTCCAGTATTGTTATAGAAAAAAAAAGTTTAATCTTTACTATGTATCTGGGATTGATAAAAAATGTATTATTTTAGATAATCAAAAATTCTAGGTGATCAAATTTAAGTATACTTTTAACGTTAATTCTTTAAAACGGATGTAGGGAATAAAAATTATTATCCAGCTGAACATTATTATTAAATTAATGGAAAAGGCTGAAGGGAAATTTACATGTTACTCTTGAATTTATTTTATACTATAATTTTATAATTTTGATGGATCTTTGTTTCTAATGCTATGGAAAATCTAAATTTTTATTCTTCAAAATTTTTAATTGTTTTTGAACTGATTCATTTAATCCTCAAGCTTCAGCTCACTCCGAATGTTGCTTATTAAGCATATGCATAAAAATATTCAACAAAATCCGTAAAAAATGATAATTTGGATAAAATAATAGTTTAAATGTTAAAACTATTAACTTTTGTATCAAATGGCTAATTTATATCTTATAATGAAATCAAGTTGTATTTAAAAAGAAAATGAGAAAAAATGTTTATGTATTTTTTTGTATACTTTGAAATGAATATTTTTTTGTTTTAAAGTGTTTTTACAATTATATTTCAAATCTTTTATATAGTTTCCCTGAG